GCGCAATTTCGTTCTTGCAGATCCAAACTTCTCTTCAGTAAATAAAAGTTTAAAAAAAGCTAAACACATGTTTTACAATGAAATTGCCAAGGAAACGCCTTGAGAGTATTTTAAACAGGTATAAAATTCAGTTGCAGAGTTTACACTTTTAACTAGGTCAGTGTTCATCTTCGTTGGATTAAAAATAAAGAAGAAATGTGCAAGTTTTCATTTACCAAGTTTTGCCCTGCCTTAATTGTCTAGCCTTGTTGTAACGAGTATTTTTTCCTCTCTTTTTCTTATTTTATCTTGCCGTTTCTAGTTATTTACGGTATGGTAATAGTAGTGCTCGGGTCAGTTCACCCCTTATCTAAATAGAGTCATCTTTTAATTATAAAATAAATTTCGCTTTTAGAGTGATGAAGGTTTGATGTCATTGTGTACTCAGGTTCTTTCTTGTTCGGTGCATTTTTGTCTTTTTGGCACTTAGTCGTAACAAACGTAAAAGTCATAACCGATCTTATAGTTTTATTTCCGTCAACTGACGCCCTTTTTCATGACAAAGTACCTTAAACAAAAGATTATTGCCATGATGGGTTTTTCTGTCGTATTTTGTGATAGACTGAAGGCATTGTCTACGTAAAATCGTTTGCAAACCTCTTGCCTAATATCTCTAAATCTTTACGTATGGCCAGAGAAATTGCCTAGAGTTTTCGGAGAGCCTCGAGGGTTAATTTATTACAAACATTTGACGGCTTTCCGATAAGGAAGTGTTAAGAAAAACTCTTTGCATAAATTTACAAAACGAGCAGTTGATGCTGTGCAAGTCAAAATATATAATTATCAGATGAATCACAGGTCTCTGTTCTACTCGGTGGCCACAGAAACTAGACAAGAAAGCTATATACAGACAAATACACTACATTCAGGTACTCTTTAACTATGTTCGGTTTTCTTTAGACTTGAAGGGGGACAATGTTCACTTTTATGGCATGTGCGTAACAATTTTAAGATAGATTTCATTTGCCCGCAGGCCTCGAGCATCGAAGTGATAAGGCCAAGGCCGATGCGCCTTTCACTTAAAAAGGGGGGGGATCGTGCAAATTTGTTAGCTACTCGATTAAATTCACTTAGTTAAATCGCTGCACTGGAATATGTTGTAAGTAATTCAAGCAACTAAAAGGGTCATTATGTAACCGACAGAAGTGGTACTGAGTTTCTTCCTAACGCACCAGATTAAAACGTACTGCTCAATACTAATTTTCTAGTTTTTTATTTCATACATTTACTAGAGAGCTGAGAGAGTAAATAATGAGAAAATGAAAAGCAGTGAATAATGTCATTTTTAACATTAATCGGGGTTTATAAACCACTTCACAATCGAAACAATGTGATGAAACTCACGTCCGTAGCTGCTAACACGTGTCGTGTATTGAAAAGAGGATTGAATTTTGACATGGAGTTTTTCTTCACCGATCTTGTACATGTCCGTCTTTCTTTGGCGAGTGTCAACTTTTAGACACAAATCGCATTCATACTAAAGGTGTTCATGCGGATTATTGCTTCACAATATGCCATGTTGAGATAGAATAAAGCCCTTTTAACCGCGGAGTGTTGTAAAACGTTGGCGTTCAGTATCTGAGGGACGAACCTTGACGATTTCAACCGCGTCGCCTCTCTCTTCAGGTGCCTCAAAAACTGACCTCTTTATATTATTATGACGGGCATTTTCAGGCAACTCCTCAGTCTGTTCTTCAACTCTTTGTACACTTAACCCTAAAATGTAATTCAGACTGCACGTATTGAGAGCATGATGAGGTACCCGGTCTCATTCTTCCAAAGTCTTGGTTAAATAAGGACATTGTATGAGACCTGTATTCATCGAGCTTCCCTGCCTTGCACGTGTTACCTAGGAAGTCAAGTCACTCTTGGAAAAGAGATCACTTGACGTTCCCCTTCTACAAATGCCACGTTTTCTCTCTTTGACCTTGCCCAATGAGCATTGCGATTTCACTGGCCTGTACGTGCGTGTTTTTTACGGTGGAAAACGTGTCACTTGTGTCTGCTTCAGCATAAGTCTCTATCCTATCTATCTTGTGGGAAAATCTGAAATGAGTGCGAGCGTCTACTTCGAATTTTTCGCTATTTAAACTTACTTAAACCCACGTGTCTGTTATAGCAACAGAAAGCTGCTCGACCTTATAATACTATTTCTCGGCCCACATAAAATCTGGCTTTTCTGTGGCTAAGTCAAGGGCATATTGCGTTTGGTTGTCGTATATGTTGATTAGTCAAGAATCATAGTGGTATAACTGAAACTCTCCGGATTCACTTTGATTCAGAATTCAATATTTTTGTTATGCTATTGTTGTATTGGAACAAATTCAGTTAAATATTCATTTCTTTGCTTCTGCGCTAGAATAGGAGCTTTTTTTTTTTTTCATTTGAAACAAGTGCATTTGAGTGAGCTTGTTGTGTATGTTAATTTTGACAGAAGATGTTTGAAAAGAAGGCATAAGCCCATTTTAAAAAATAGAGCTTTCTCTTAACCGATAACAAAAACATAGCTTACTCTCAAGTACTAGCAAAATACTTCAACAACAGAGTTTCTGACCTTTTTTTTTCCTCTCAACTTTCGTTAAATACACCCAAGAGTTTTAACTTGTTTACGATCCATGTTCAAAAGGTTACATTTTTTAAAAGTTTACTGTACACAAGTGGCAAGGAATTATGTTGAAAGACTTCGAATGTGGAGGAAGTAGAAGGCGGAGATGAGTTCAAAAAGATTTCAACCGCCAAGAATTTTATCAGATACCAAATTTAGAAGCAGATTTCGTTCTATTTAACAAATCTCGTGCTAGTTAGATTGTTCTAATTTTTATACGCACGCCAACTGGTTGACAAATTCTTTCGAAGTAAACAGAGAAGCATGGACGTTCAGAATGTACAATGATCGGTCTCCAGTATTTTCGTTGACAGCTATACCTCAACCAGTAAAGTAAACTTGTCGTTTATTGAAAGGCTTTACTGAAAATCAAGTCAAAAGACAAGAACGCACAATGCTGTTTCTCATTGTGTCAGAATTAAGGAGAAAGCTGGTTAAGAGTGTCTGTAAGTTGGAATAATCCCCGCTGAGATGCTTAAGGGTGGAGGAAAAGCATGCTGCCAGCTGATAGTCTTGGAATATCACGAGACTCTGCCTTTCTTTTCACTGAAATAGACGGGTCTGCATTGGGCGCATCATTTGGGCGTGTCTCGCGTCTTGGAAAAGAAAATGTTTTGAAGAATTAGTTTGTTAAAAGCCACTCCCGGGCATTTTTTTAGCAGTTGGCCTGATTGTGCATGAATCAAACATAGACCTTTTAATGTAGCATCTCTAGTACGACAAAGGCGGGCGACTGGAGTCGCCGACGTTTTTTTGAAGCAGGATGTTAAGCTGTTTTTTGTCGTGAGATATCTAGATATTCTTGTTTCAGTAATTTGAGCTGTCTTGTGTCTCTTTTAAGTTTGGGCTTGTCAGATTTTGGGAGCACACAGATGCTCCAACAAGTCAGTAACTTTACTCCCAAAAATGCCTAATCTTAAGCCGGAACTCTCTGAAAATATTCCCTAGCTGAATGCACGTTTGTGTCACGTTTTTATACCCAAAAACAGAGGTGTTTTAAACTCCTTTGGGCTGGAATAAAATCCAAAATATAAAGAGAGAAAAGATAGGTGAACTGTTGTTAAATTGCAACTCGTGCTTTTTGAGACTAAGGGAAACTTTCTGGAAATACCTTGCGTGTCCCACTTAAAACAGGTCTATTGACAGTATGCTGGTGTGGTAAATGTCGTATTGACCTCAAGACGAATAGAATGGGATATAAATCACGTATCACGAGAGGAACGCAAACATTCGGGGGACTAACACTGTTGACAGCGCGCGGATAACTGAAAACCAAGTGGGAGGTGGAGGCCTCATTCAACGCCCCACCATTTAAAATTTCCTGTGTTTGTACTTAAGGCTGACGGAGAACAGAACATTGCGAAGGATTTGTAGATAAATAGGTGAGCCTTACATTAAAAATAGAACTAAAGGCAGGCCTCGATAAAAATTTATATTGTAATAATTTGTGTCATCATTGGGACATGTGGAATACTTGTGTACAGAGAAGCGCCCCGTTATACCTGCGTCCTTTTGCGGCGCGCAGATTTCTTGGAAAACAACTAAAAAAGAGCTAACTAATTCTTATGCCTTCGAGAACCGGTGGTGCTGTTTTCAGCCCCAGCAAATGCCACTGCAATTAACACAGGCAGGGATTTGAGACGTTGATCCGTTTATGAAAATTTACCGCGTTGACAGCCCAATGTTAAAATTAGCGAAGGTTAATTGATAGGTAGTAGTTTCCATTTCGGTCAATTGTCGATCTTTGTCTGATTGCAACTTATATACGAATCGCTGAGTTTTCCTTTCCGGTGATGGGCGCCTTCCTTTACCGGCTTGTAAGAAAGAGATTTGAGGAAAAGATCTTTTTGGAAGTGTGATGTCGACTCTTCTCTAATCAACCGTTACTAATAGAACACACTAGAAGAGCCACTGTTGCAAAGGAAGGTATGACTGTACGAAATTTCTTTTTTTCTTTTTTACTTTTATGGAGATCTTGTTTATAAAAACAAAATTTATTGGATTCGTAAACGAAATGAATTGTTTCGACTTTGTTTTAGCTATGTACTCGATAGCTCGTTAATTAAGCTTGGCCTTCTGTTTTCAGTAAATGATTGTTCCTTTTGCATTAAAAAATAGCGTTAACTAGCCTTTGGTTGCCATATTGAAAAACAAACGAGCAAATGCAAAAGGAACTAATAAATTTCGGATTTGATTTAATTTCCGGGCAACACTCTGAACTACAATTCGCGGGGACAGTAAGAATTAATCCCTACGATTTTCACTTTTTATTTGATAGCGCTGTCAGCTTTGATTGCAACCAAATTCATAACAGTGCAATTTTGAAGAGGAGCTTCCGTAATACAACAAATAAATTATGTTTACATTTCCAAAAGAGAAGGCGTCGAACGACGTGGAGTACATTGAAAAGTTCAACGCAATAAATGGTTTATAAAAGTAAAATATCGACAATTATTCACCTGTGAATAACACTTTTGTTATCAACTGAAAAATGACTCAAAAATTTCCGAAATAAAAAGCCAATGTTAAATACATAATGCAGTGGTAAATATAAATATTGAAATTCGCGATTGATAGTAAACTTATAACCCGTGGCAGTACAAACGGTTTTAGTTAATGTTCGTTTTCAACCACTGAAATCGATCTTGTTAATTACAACTAATTACTTCACTTCCACCGAAAGTCGGAATCCTGAAAAGAGCGATTGAAAAGTTAAATTGGGAGCCTTTGTTTTGGGCAGGCGATCAAGCTGGGTTGAAATTTCTTTCAAGGAAATCACAATATTCCTTGTGCTTATTCAAACCAACTCTATTGTATCGCTTTGACGGTTTGTTGTTCTGCACTTCAGATCACTGCACTTCCTCTTGAAACGTGCTTGAAAGACCCTAAATGTTCCTTTTGCATGCAAATAATACAACTCTATAGGGTAATTGGCAAAACATTCTACTCCTACTTTATTACACTGCCAAAGTGGTGTAAATTAGAGTTGATGAGATCGTTCACAAAATGCTGTTGAAATAAACACTCTCGACAATTTAGATTTATTGAACGCGAATATTTAATAACTGTAGCCTTTTGAAGGGGGTTAGAGCATCGCCGCAAAAATTTCGGCACCATCTGGAAACGTTCCCCGCCTCTCCTTATTAAAATAACAAAACTCTTTCTTGGTTCGCCGTTCTCAGTTTAATATACGAGGATAAGAACAATTATTAGAATAGAGGCGAAGGGTAGTGGAGTCTTTTTATGTTACGCGGAGTTAAAAGTATGTAGAAGGTTTTACAGAGTTTTTTTTTAACTTTGGGTCTCTAGCTGTGAATGACTAACATCAATGTGATATTAACTTTTTTTCCAGCGGGGAACCCCCAATACATTTTGTATTAACTCGAGTAGCCTTGTTACATGTTTGGTTTCATTCTAGGATTTCGGATTTGTCCTACGAAAGCTGATAAAGAACGCTTTTCTGAAGCACCCAAGAGAACTATTGGCACACCAAAGACTAGTATTGATTTGTGGAATCGCATTTTGGTAAGTAGAAGTACAATGTAGTTAAAACTCATCACTAATTCTCCCGGGATAATATCCGATATTTCCTGCTCACAGTTGAGTGTTTGGAAGTTCAGTCCTTAGAGCTCTACGATTCCTGAAGGACAGAGCTTGCTTATGGACTTTTGTTGTTGGCAACAAATCCTCAAAGGTTTCCTATTACTTTATTAGCTTGTGATACAGATAAGCCGGCAAATCCAACGAAAGACTTAAGTCAACAACGAACACGAAAACGCTGGTAGATAGTTCCTTGTATAGGTTATTTTTGGCCAACTCCCCTAAACAAATCACTTGAGAATTGTCACAGCTTTAATGGATGGTTTTAGCTGGTATTTTCAGACGCTATATGGGTATATTCAATCGACTGCTACGAGTATTGTTGCACTCTGTGCCTATGACTCAGTGCTTTCTTACAAACGAAACTCTTCTGTAGTTTGAAACGAAATCACTTACTTGCAGTGACTTCTGTACGATCGATAATAACTTCTCTGTCTCGAGATTTAGATCCGCGCTGAGCGTCTTTCAGTTAAATCATACATTATCTCACCTGTCCATTTAAAAACCGTGTGAGTGACTGCTCTCTTCCTCGCGCAGACTTGGCGACTTGAAATTAACGACAATTTTGGGAGTCTAGAGTACACCATCGTCAGTGAAGCAACATGCTGTGTTTCCCACATCAAGAAGCCATCGGAGAAAAGCAATAACAATAAGTCATTGTCTGGCAGTAGTAATTTTTTTACCCTCCTTCGGATTGTACGGACTAAACTCGTAGTGTACAGAGCGCGATAAGGCGACCTTCGCTTCATAACTAAGCTGTGGCCTTGCCAACTCGGCTTTTTCTAAGGCCCCTTAATAATAGGATAGAGTGGAAATAATCCTCCGAAGTGAAAGAAAGATCACCAAACGCTTTCAAAAACCAATTACACCGATAATAAGTATCCACAAAATCCCACAAAAGCGCTTGTTTTGAAATCATTCTTCAAGTTGTAGTCACTACGGACGCCTTACATTGCCTAGTTATATTTACCGATTGAAGTATTTCTCACCTAAACCGCAGCGGACCTGTTCGTACGCAAATAGCCAAGGCCTATAGTATTTTCCCACACAGATGGCCAACTGATTCGCGGTTTTAAAGCAGACATGCTTTAGTGATTAACAAACAGGCGGGTCTCGACCTACACCAGATCATACTCGATAGAACTATTACACGCGAATTAAAGCTGCGCAAACCCATCAAGAAACTGCGAAAAATCACTATCTTGCTAGATCAATATTTGTGTTCAACTTGTCTGTCTCTCACGGGGACTTTGTTTGATTGTGAGCTCCATCTCGTGTTGACGTATGGTTTACTTTCTGTTTACCTTGACATCGTTAAAGTTTGTGATAAGCAAGCTAAAGATAACTTAAGCCTTTCACTCCCGATAGTCGCCAAACAAAACGTTCACTGAAAAAAAGAATCATGTCTTTCGGTAAGAAATATTTAACGCTAGATGCAAACATTCTGCCAGAGATATTTCATTTGAAATGGCGACATCATAGACCTTTCTTCGTCCAAGGATTTTAACTGAGTTTATGTGACAAATTATCTTGCCATGACTTGGTCTAGCACTTTAAAAGTGGAAGGCCAGGGTTAATGCGCTTTTATTACATAAGGGTCACAGAAAGCAGCGTACAAAATAAATAAAGGAAAAAAAACCGAAAACGTAACCATTGCTCTCTTTGAAGTTCTTCTAGTTTCAAAAGCGCCAATGAGTTGAAAGCCGATTTATCGCTTTGACCTTTCCTTTCTATGACGAAGAGGAAACAGGGATAAGTACTGTTTATACAAAACTATTTAGAATCACGAACATAAGCTTCGAGTCTTGTTTAAGACCCGTACTTTCGAAATCACTTTGTAATGTGGCAGTTCTTGGTTATTTGACAAGTTTTCTAAGAGTGTGCAATTTTGTAAGAGATCTTTTTCGTCAGCTTTGAAAATAACTGTACAGAAGATTGAGTCGTTTGCTTCAGACGGGCACAGCGGGAGAGATTTTGTGGATAAATGTTTGATTTGCAAGCGGGAATTGAACTAAGCAGCCCCCTCACGAAGCGGTCTTCAACGGAAGCGAAAAGGGAAGCAAACTCCATTAAATATGAAACGACTTTCTTTTTGCGTTCGCCGTTTGCTGTTAAAGCAAGCTTTGCTAGATCTTGCTATGATTGAATTCACTTCCCTGAGTTTCAGGTTTTGTGACTTAACGTTGGTCGAGAAACTACCAGGGCAGTTAATCCCGGATGCACCGGTCAGACAACTAAACCACAATTTCTTTCTTGCAATTTTTCTTACAATGTCAAAACGGTTTTATTACTTCAGTAAGTGCCTTGAGATTAAATGAGAAAAAAGCTACGATCAGATTTCTCTATTTTCTATAATGTGTCATCTTTTAATAAAAAGTCAGAAATTTAAGCGTTAACGTTTTCGCAGCATTCGTTAATATGATCACTAATCCTCAGCATCTTGTAAGAGATCTACTCTCTTGCTTCAAATTACCAAATACTGCCAAAAATTACCGTTAAGATTTTTCCCTTTTTAAAGATAAACTCCTAAATTCACGAGATTTCTTTTAAAATAAATTATCTATTTGCCTGTTATTTCTTCAACAACGCTCTTTCTTTTTTGTGTGAATGGGACATAAAATGTGTTTCATACTCTGATTAAAACATTTATTTTCGCTTTTCAAGCTTTGATTCCCTGTGTTTACTCTAGCTATCCTTACTTTGAAATAAAAAAATAAGACAGAAGGAACTAAAGTTAGACTAAGTTCTCTCGGAGTATATCGGGAAAATCTCAAACTGCGGAGTGTTTAAAAACGATGGAAAAACGTGCCGATAAAAGTTGCCAAATAATAGACACCAAAGATTCGTTTAGCTGTGGGTCTTTTCATTTAATTAGTTAACAAAGGGGCATTGAATGGAAAAGTGGTATTTTGTAGGATAAACAGTGTTATTGAAAGGCTTCTCCGATCGGCACTAAAGATTCATTTGGGTTCCTAATTGGTCAAAAAAGTGTATTCAATTGTAGAAGAGTGTTACTTTCCTTGTTTCATGGAAAGTTCTCTAAGATGGGAAGTAAAAAAGTAAGAATTTGACTTAAATCCTTAATCCAGAGAGTTAAGCTTCTTTGGTAACAGTAAGTTCACTGAATTGTCTGTGCACTTGTAAAATAAAACAAATTGTGAAAGAGAGATAAGGGTAAAGCTTCTCGAACTTTTGCAAACCCCGGCTGTTTTTGAAATTTCCTTAAGTATATGAAATTATGGCCACACCATGGGTGAAACTGCTTTGTTGTTAGAGAAGTTTTTTTTAAAGTTTTTACCCTAAAAATTGTTTTTCTCGGCCGAGTTTTATAAATTGTTTTACTGATATAGAGTCCTTTAAAGCAGAATAAATTGAGCTGAAAATTAGGGTTTGGTTTTGTTAATTTTCCTCTCAGAATAATCCGACAGTTTTTTTCTTCTTCTGCCAATAGCGTCAATTCTTTTAAGATTAAACTTCGTTTATTTGCGAAGGGAGGCATGTTGCATTTTTCCCACTTTCCAATACCCTGAGCTTATAAACACGATCAAATCTAACAGTCTTACTGTTAAATCGGCAATTAGTACACCTTTAGGTGTAATTGAAAATCTTTTGAATTCGGGATGGCAACGAAACCGTCCCTGTGAGTGACGTAATGAAAGTTGACTTGTCCATTCCGCTAGCCGGGGTGTTGTTCATTGTTCGTGTGGCAGTGACACAACTGCAGTCACGAACAAAGAGTACACGGGCCACTGTTTTGATGGAGCGTGTGTCTTTCAAAATTAATCTTTAAGCAAGGCCGCCCTGTTCCTTGTGTGTCACTTCGTGCAATACGTCCGTAAAACAATTTGATTTAAGCCTTCAGTAAACTGAACAGTGTCACTGGATTAGAGGATCAGAAATCGTGGAACATCCGTCCTATTCTTCACAAAATTAAATTAAAGCAGGCTATTCGTACAACTTAACGTCCATAAAGAGCCTCTATACGTGTCTCAAATCAGGAAAGCCAATGCTTATTAACTCGCGAACGAGTGTGGACAAAAGAAATTTTACTTTAAGAAATGTCTTTTTCGTTGTACGAGAACCAAAATGGTTGCTTTTCCGTTCCAAACCCTTACTTTACACAGTGTGTTCTTGGCTCATTCTTCAGCAAAGATTCCCAGTTTCAAGCTGTCGATTTAGTAAGTCATCCTACCGTGTGTTTCTCTGATATTTTTGGTTAAACTCTCCGAGGGCGTCATTATTTAGGGCTCAATCATCCACGTATAAGGTGATCAATTGCAGTCTTTCAGTGTTGTCGGATCTGCGGTTTTCCTTCCTAAATTAGCGATATTGCTACGAAAGATATTCTGATTTAGCGCTTTTGGTCTGTTCTATTACTTTCTCGGATCAGCGTGTAGGTTAATATCCGATGTAACTTCGCCGTTTCTTCTTGGCAAACGAGTTTTGTGGATTAATTAATCTTGTAAACTAGTTCTGTCGTCACACGTGTTACAACTGATTCTTTTTTCATTACTTTTCTTTTTTGATTTCACTAAATACACGATTTGTTCATTGATGCAAGTACTATTGTCAAGATGTAAAATTTTACAGTCCTGAATTTTGCTCCTTTTTTTCTTTGTAAGCACATGGGCATGAAGTATCAAAAAACTTAAATCAGGGTGTCTTTCGGTCGATGGGTCTGTGCAATATAAAATAATTGTAGTCAAAATTCACTCAAGTACCACTGTCAAGATATAAAACTTTTCCAGTTCTTTATTTTCTATTTGTTCTTTTTCTTTGTTTACACATGGGCACCAAGTATCGAAAAAGTTAAATACAGGTTGTCTTGAGTTTGTGCAATTTAAAATAATTCTAGTTATATATACACTCTAGTTATATGTACACTATACACTCAGTGTCTAACTTGTGAGAAAGGTTTTTTATGGCCTAAATTAGCCTGTACATTTTTAAATTTAATTATTTCGCCCTAGTTGGATAACAAGTTCAACGAGTAATGAAAAGTTTGATCCTAGGTTTTTGCTAAATAATTGCGACATAAGGTCATAGGCTTTAAGGCTTACAATTAGCAATGTTCAAATCTTTTCGTGTACCTTGGTTTTCGGTTTTCTCTTACAAATTACAAAAACCGACCAAACGCGTATATGTTCTCTAAAAACGATTTGATTTGAATTAACGTTAATGCTTTCCTTGGTTTAGCTTCCTTAATCTTGATTTTTAGAGCTAAGTTCTCCCTACTGTTATTAATACATGTCTTTCAACGCGCTTTGGGAGAATGTTACATATAATCGGTTTGACTATGTACTCTTGAACTCGCCTTTCGGAGCAAAGAAGTGGGGTTGGTAAAGTTCAAGCACAGCCACTACGAGGCTTAACATCCAGAAATTTAAATTTTACCTAATTTCGTATCATAAATTTCTTTAGTTCCGTGATTAGTTATCACTAATTTTTGTCTTATTTTGTGTGTGTATTTTTTTTTTCAGTTTTCAGAGATCGTAATTTGTTTCTCGAAGATATTAGCTATATATTGTAGCTACTCTAAAATTCGAGTTAAAATAAAGGTTATATTTGTATGTAGTGTCACATCAGGCGTTCTACCACAGACAAAGTAAATCCACCTTGTAAAGTATAACAAACAATTGCTCAGTAGCTTTCATTTGAATGGTCACACGAGAATTTATACACAGACTTAAAAGCTAAAACCACCTTTTACTGGGCAATAAACAGTACCACAGGAAAGTACTGCTCAGTAGCTTTCATTTGAATGGTCACACTATAGGATTTCATACACAGACTCAAAAGTTAGAACCACCTTGTACAGCATAATAAACAGTATCACAGGAAAGTACTGTTCAGTAGCTTTCATTTGAATGGTCACACCATAGGATTTCATACACGGACCCAAAAGTTAGAACCACCTTGTACAGCATAATAAACAGTACCACAGGAAAGTACTGCTCAGTAGCTTTCATTTAAATGGTCACACCATAGGATTTCATACACAGACTCAAAAGTTAGAGCCACCATGTACTGTTCAGTAGCTTTCATTTGAATGGTCACACCATAGGATTTCATACACAGACCCAAAAGTTAGAACCACCTTGCACAGCATTATTAACAAACAGTACCACAGGAAAGTACTGCTTAGTAGCTCACACCAAAGGATTTCATCCAGACTCAGAATTAGAACCATCTTGTACAACATAATAAACAGTATCTCACATAGCGAGGTAAAAATTTAGTCTGAGGGAGAATCGGCATTTTATTTATAACGTCCAAAAGAGCTCTACTCCCTTTTATATGAAAAAAATATTGATTATGTCAGGTATTACATTGAATTTCAACTTAGAGATCTCCCGTTGAAAGTTCACACATCCAAATCTTTTTCTCACCGACAGTCCAACTTCGGAAAAATATTTCTTGTTATTCTATGAAGTATGTTAGTATCTTTGTTGATGTAGTGTAGAGAACGTGACAAGCAAAGTTGACTTACATGTTATAGCCATTTTTGCTGATGATTATGGTTTATTTCAGGTCGCTAAAATGGCCTTTGCCGTTCTCAGTTATGAAAAAAACAGTCAACAGACCTTCAGTAAATTCTTTATAAAACTCACTCTTAAATAAATAAGTTAGCTTTAATCAATACATGTTCGTTCATAACCTAACCTTCAAATCAGTTCGTGACCTAAGAACTTATTTAACGTGTTAACCGTTTCTTTTCCGCTTACTCCGTTGACATAATTTGGAGCTAAGGAGGTGTTTAATCACGTTAGAAAGACTTGAAAGCCTTTATAAATAATTCTTTAATTGAAAAAGTTGAAAGTTATCGACAAATTTTGTTATCGTCAAATAGTGATAACAACAACATCATCAACATCAACAACAATTTGATGATGATAAAAATAATGATAATAAACAATATAAAAATAATAAAAAAACGGCTTGAGATGGTTTGTAGCAGTTAATTGTCCTATTGTTTCCTAAAGGTTATTGCGGTTTGATGTGTTTTGTTATTGTTATTTCGTACTTCCTTTCTAGAAAAAAAAATGACGTCCTTGGCGTTTACTACTAATTATAACCAGCCACAATTTATGCACGTACACTTTCATGTTCTGTTTCTTTTATTATCGTTCGTTTTCTCCTACAATTATTCAATGGAACCCCCCAGAAAAGATCTCCTTTTTTGTCCCTTAGAAATTCTGGCTAAAATACATCCGCCCTTTTAACACAGAACTCGCACATACTTCAATTTTAGTAGTATTACGACGTGCTGATTCCTTCACAAGATCATATGAATGCTTTTAATGGATTTTTATTTTTACTTACGGAGAGGAAATGTTATCGCTAGCTTTAATTGTAGTGCTTCCGTAAGGTACGAGAATTTACAAGAAAAAAAATATCCCTGCGTTAAAACGTCCATGATTCTTCAATCCGTGACATCATCTACATAAACATCGTGACGTGTTTAATCCAGCATGAACATTTCATCTGTTGCTAAGCGGTATCCTTTTGGACTACCAATGCAGACAATTTGACCTCCCACATTGTTGTAAATTAGATAAAATAGCAATAAAGATTCTATACGATGTGATCTGCAGTAAATAGTAAAGCATGTATGCACTTGTGTCGAGCGCTATTGCATAGACTTGCTAACGTTTGGCTACCTAATCCTGCATAGCTTTCATGTCTTAGTTCCCAGTAATCCGACTGGGTGTAGCAGCATCACACGCTTGTTTTTCTTATGTGGAATTTCAGAAGGAGTCCTTTATCAAGCGGATTTTCTGTCTCCGTCTTTTGGATTGATAACTTGACAGCTCGGATCTGCAGGGGGGCCTTAAAGGGGCGACTGGCAAAGAGGGTCGCGAGAATAACCGCGACCTGATCAGCTCATTAGTGTTTTCATTTACTCCTCCAGCACGCGGCACACAACTCGCGCTCAACCATTCATCAAGAATCTAAGATGGCGGGCTTTCTGAACCATTATCCACCTTACCCAGTCAATGGGCTTAACATGCCTCCTAGAAGCGCCGACATGTTTTCCCCGATGGTTGCTCCACCTTATGGTAAGACTTAAGATTTTATTTTTAGACTCTAAAGACGGCGAATTTGCCAACTTTCTACACACTTAGGTAATGACAATTAACCGCTCTCGCGGTTAGCAGGAAAAAATATTTCTTTGAGAAGGAGGAAGTTTTTTATCCTCTGTCGAGTTGCGTTAAATGCTTGCTAAGTGCTTATTTCAGTTTGCTTGAACTTTGAATTGTCAAGTTTTCCTTGTGTTAAAGAGACCTCCCAGATTTTCCGCCTTAGAATTTGTAAAGGTATTTATTAGAGTGTGATATTCTATAAAGCCTATTTACGAAGCTCCCTTTGAAGCTCGGTGGTGTTGTGTAAGCAAAGCCCTTACGGTCAAATAATCGTTATAATGCTGTTCACTTCTTCTCTGCTTCGCATTTAACGAACAGAGTGAGGATCAAGAAAAATGATTCCACAATCTGCAGTGCTTTTCAAAATGACAAGCAAACAGGGTGGAAGTTTGACTATTGTCCGTGAAGGATTTGCGGGCGCCAAAACTCTTAAGTTAGGCCGATTTTCGAAGGGAAGATTTTTACTACGAATCTCGTTTAAAGCACAGAGAAACATACTTCCCGTAGAAAACATTTAAACTCATTTGCGGCCATAAAGCTGTTGTACAAGACCGCATGAAGATAACGTGGCTTAAACGGCGATGATAAGATCGTTGAGTTAATTTTGTGTTAAGCGCTTTCACTCCTTCTCGAGAACAATGTCCAAAATCCAACAAAAAACCAAAATTTTACTTTTAAAGGTATTAAGAAATAAATTGTAAAATCTAAAAGTTCTGCTGAAGATTTTTCTTTTAAATAGTAACACCGTTGGATTTTGCCCTTAGACTCTAAAGCTACATATGCATTTTATGACTCCGTTATGAGTCTACGTTAATGGGTTTACATTCGATGCATTGCACGTACTGTGCTCCTGAACTAGACGTACATGGATCTATTCAGCTTTTTTAGTGGAAAATTTAAAATGTTTTCTTTAGTTCTATAGTGTCCATGTCAATGAACAAATCAGGACTTTGCCCATGCTATAAAAAGAACAGTTTATTCAAATATTTGTGCTTCTAATTTGACTAAAGAACGTTCCTCTTAGAACATGTCATTGCTTAGCTCAAAACTGAGGGTGTGTTACGAAAGTTAAATTGCAAATAAACGAAAATACATCATTGATTCTATGTTTAGGTTATCCTAGGAAACAGAGAAGGGAGCGAACCACTTTTACCAAGGCACAACTAGAAATCTTAGAAGAACTCTTCTCCAAGACAAAATACCCAGACATTTTCATGAGAGAAGAAGTAGCAATGAAAATCAGCCTACCCGAATCTCGAGTTCAGGTAAGTTAAAGTGGCGCCTTTTCTGACTTAATTCCCAGCTGAAAGAGCAAAGAAATGTTTAGGAAGCACTGAGGAACTTATCTAAATTAGATCCAAATTTAGCAACATCTTGCGCAACGTCATAAACATGCAGTATCTTAGAAAAGCAATGCCCGAAAGCTTTTCTCAACAAACTCTTGCAAAACGTTCTTTTGTCTGTTGCATGTTCCACTTGTTTTTGCACCGGCGGCTCCCAAAGCTTTATCCCCAATTTCGATGTTAACGAGGGTAAAGAAAGTATATCGTATCATGTCGGGTAATCTAGTCGTGTCTGGAAAAATAAATAAATATAAACGCACATTGGAAAAGCTGAAGATGAGCTTCCCGCACGTTGCAAGGCTTGTTCCTTTTTCATGTCATTGTTAGCTAAAAAGATCATGAAGAAATTAGGGTTTTCTTTTGGAGATGGTTCTGTTGCCCAGGTTTGAATCCTGACTGCGTGGAGGGGAATGCTGCATACGTCTAAACACGCTTTGTCTGAACAATCATACGAAAATTCTACAGCACATCTCCACAAGAAGATTTTTGTACAAAGTTTTAGAATTTTTTCTTTCCTTTTTTTTTTTCTTCTTCTTGTTTTTTTTTATTATTATGTCTCAGACAAGAAGTAGTGATAATTAATCTCCAAAGGTAGAGATCTTACAAAGGTGATTTTCACTTGTGTACAGCGTCCTTATCCTCATCATGTCCTCTGTGTGTACTTCTAGAAAGCCGGGACTCCGCTTTTGACCTTGGATAGCTTTAACTCGAATTAACAGTCTCAAAAGTTAAAATCGTAGGAGGTTTTACATGAAAAGAGATAAAATTTTAAATAGGTTATTAAAAACTCTAAAACTCTAAAGAATTTTCCGGGAAGTAGAGCAAACTGGCAATGAACTCTGTACCTTGTTAACATGAATGGCCCGTTGTTTGGGAAACATTAGTTAGAGGCTACTTTATCATTGCTCAGAAGAGCGAACCCCTGTAAATATTTCTGAATATTTTGTTTTGGTTTCCGACTATTTGTGAAATTCAATTTAACACTCACTAGGTTTTTCGTGTTATATCAGGATACTACATTCTTTCACGTTCAGCATTTAGTGGTTTTAAAAGAAGGCTGACAGTTCCTGTCTAATTCGCTGACCAGCACTAACAGTTGAAAATTTTTCTATGAAAAGTTGGGTCGTTTTGGAGAGAACTAAAAGAATGATATTATAACAAAATCAGATATTAAAGTGTGTCATAAATTCGTTAAAAAGAAGGGGTGTATAACCCTTCGTGTTCCTGGATGTCGTTCTTTATGCGTGCTTCGATGCACATTCATCATAATGGCATAGTTTCTCCGTTATGATCACTCCCAAATTTAACTATGCTATATTGATGTAAAGCTAACGTTTGAGTCTGTACAAAATCCTATTTTGTTGTCATTAAAGGAAACCTCTAATTAGCAGTACTTTCATATGGTAGTGCTTGGTTCTAACCTAAGTTTTGGCACAAAAACTTATGAAGTGATCGTTCAAATGAACCTCTTCAACAGTACCTTTTAATGGTATTTGCTGTTTGTCAATATCGTGGCTTTTCAATATTCTGTCCGTCTTTGAAGTTAAAGGGTTAAGAACTTGCTGGTAGGTGGCTTTTATTTGTGTGCACACTTATAAGGATTCCATAAATGAACTTAAGCGCACGGCGAAAACAACACAATAATGAATGAACACTGAGTGGCAAGGAAACATTCACTTAAATGATGACACTTTGGGATTTGGCTTAGCTGTCCTTTTTAGTCTTTTTTTTTCCACCCTTCTCGCTCAAATTTGTAAGTTTATTGATGAGATCTCTTGGCCCAGCCTTTCGAAGACTAATGATGAACACGTTTTTCAGCGAGCTGCATACGACTGTTTTCTAATGTTCGTACGTGAACAATTTCAAGGTAATTGGCAATTTGTAGAGCTGTTGGCTGGTCACTCACTGTTTCAGAAAGATGTCAAGTAGCAAACTATATCTGCAAAAATTGCTTGAAAAAAGAAGACTTGATTTTTATCTCAGACGTAATACAGAACTGTAGACAACCGTTTAAGAATGAATCAGTGGGTCTTGAGATTTCAACCAAACATCGATCGTTACCCTATTAGAGCAAGAAAAATGGAGGGAAATAATGAGAATGAAGAATTTCACAAGTGTCCTTTTTACAAGTTTTTTGTAAAGGTGGAGCCCAGCATCCCCAAATAAAAACAAGATATACTTTGTTTTGCGCGGAATCAAATGGCGGCATATTGCGTGTAAAATAACCTTAAGCCGGTAGTAAACTCATTTTGTAAGTAAAAATAAGATAGTTGTTATTTGCATTTTTTTTAAATTTTTAGGTGAACTTTAGATAGAAAGAATTCTATCTCAGTTTGTCTAAACGTGGAATCAGGTGCAACGCAAATTGAATTAAAATCGTTTGACTTCCGAGCATTTAGGCGGTGATCTGGATAGTGTACGTACACACGAATGTACTGTCAGGGATTTTACGCCCACAAGACTATTCATCTTTTCTCACGTAATGACTTTAAGGTTAAACATTTTTACTCGAGGCTTTCCATGTTATTACAACAACTTGTGTTCAAAAATATCGTCACATATATTCGAGGCAGTCGTAGGAAAAACCCTCTTTGTGTTTTTCATGGATGAGTTTTGGGATCGCGTGTGATGCCATTCTTTTCGTGGTGTCTGGGCAATTCGCTTGACCTCACTTTTGCGTGCTCATACACCCCTGCTTGTCTCGCTGGTATTGTGTATTTAAAGGAAACTGAAACTTTCCAGAGAAAACTACTTAAAATCCTATTCCAAAAGTCACGCTCGCCTAAAATAGCCAGAAACTTCCAAAAAAAGGTGAAAAAGCCACACATGTATTGCTTGTAAGTTTCTAGATTTGTGTTGTTGCGTGGCTTCCTAAATTAGGGACTTGTGTTTATACGTAAAGCTTCTAATCGAGATTTCATTATTGTTTTTTTCCTTCTTATCGCTATTGCTACTCAATGAATCTTAAAGGTCAGCAAATACTATGTAAACACCACAGGAGACAACAATGTAAATTCCACTTGTTTGAAGGCGCCAATTTGAGATTCAAACGGACATATATTTGTTTGTTTTATTCTACAACAGGTGTGGTTTAAAAACAGACGCGCCAAAGTTAGGCAACAGAGCAAGGGAGAGCCTAAACCCAAACCCAAACCCAAAACTCCAACGTCAAGCAAAGAGTCTTCGCAGGCCGTACCATCGCCATGCAGATACGCAAGCTGCAGCGGAAACATTTGGAGCCCGGCCCACGATTCCGTTCGGCCCATGCCTACTTATCCCTCCCACGCGGCCGTCATTAACAACAGTATGACAATGACAAGTGCCAATCCTTCATTCATGCCACCTCCCCCTCCCCCTCCGTATTACTGCTCAAGTCCGAACGGTGGGTCGTACATGCCTTTGGAACATGCGCACATGCATCCCATGGCACCGAGATAAAAAGTCGTTTCGTGTGGCTTTGAACGTTATTAGGGAAATGTAAGGAAATGCTAATATCTGGGCTTTGCACTCATAATACCAATTAATTTAAAAAGCTTATGTGCAAATACAGGACTATAACGGTAATCCATATATTATAAGCGAGCGAAATTCCAAATTGTTGTCTGCGATAGTAGTCAAAGCTAGCGTATCACTTTCTCACAAACACATTTAAGGATAAGCTTTCTAGACTTATTAATCACGGAATCCGCTAATAGATGCGCGACCAAGACACATAACCTGTTATTATTACGCATTAGGACTTAAAACCTTTTAAGGTTTCAAAAAAATGGTTATGTGGGTTCAGTATTCAATTTCTTCCAGTTTTGTCTACATATTTTTGACCAAGAAAATGTAGCGTTGTTAGTCTCGCTAGTTGCACGAACATGTTGAATATAACAACTCCAAACAAACAACAGTAAGGAGTTAATAGAACCACACAGTACATATCGTTGATAGCTACATTTGAGCGCTCCAAGTTTTCAGTTTATTTAGCTTTGTTTTGTTTATGTGATAGACACCCAAGTATTAGGTAGTTCACATTGTTCTGGAAACTTTGTTTTGATATTCAACTTCGTGGGCTAGCGTGGCTTTTATTAGTTGTTGATTCATGTAAGTGTTTGGTATTCTTTTACTTTTGTCTTTGAATAGAATGGTCATAGAATTTCTGGTAAGCTCGACCAGTTGACGCGGACACCTTCCGGCTTTAGTTTGAATCAAGTATCCTCAGTTGTAATTTCACTAAGGCTCATTTAATATTTCTGTTATTTCATTTCCCCCTTCCTAAAGACACAAGGCGTAAAATTTTAAAAGGATTCCCATTCGAAAATATTAAGCTAGATATCGAAAACTACTAAGTTCCTTTAATGACATTATTTTGACCACACCTTCCGGCACGAATTAATATGTTAATAAGTACCCGTTCTCGTGGGCTGAAAAAAAACGTTTAAACCCCATGCAAATCCAAAGTAATCGTAAGTTTCATCCACTTTTGAGAATTCCTGATCAGACAATTTCGTACCGTGTAAACAATTAATTTAAACTTCTATGTCTAGTAAATAGCATGCATGCTTCATTCTGTTATAGATTTTTTCGTATTGCAGGAGATAATGAAGGTACATTCCTGTCTTGGAAATTTAGGAAAACGGTGATATGATTTTTTTTTTCTTAGTTTTTGCCGACTTTGTATTTGTAACTTTTGTATCTATTTAACTAGCCCTTTTTTCCATCGACCTTTCTATTGATAGACAACAAATGGCTTCTGTTATGCGAAAATGTTGTTTACAAAGGCTGGATTCGATCTGGGAGTCGAAGCAGGTTAATTTATTTTATTAAATTAAACCTTCTGCTTCCTAAATTGCCACCCGTGAGTGTATTAAATTCAGTATCGGATTTTATTTTTTAACAAAAGCCATTTATACTCCTTTGCATCTAAAGGGGCTTTGTCACGGCAGTCTCGTTCATTTGTTAAAAATTAGTTACCGTGATTTCGCATCCCTATTCGCTATGGAACTTGAGAATGACAAAGTTAAAGTTTCTGTGAAATATTTCTCAAGTACAGATGATAAAAAGTGTTAGGCTAACAAGTTTTTAAAAACCACAATTGCAAGCCGTTTTTTAATCGTCTTCAAGTTTTTCGATCCTTGCCTCTGTTCTGTATTTGCTGTGTTATGTATTTCTTCTCTTATACTACTACATGAGAAATTTCTGCAATTTGATTGGCTTAGAGCAGTGGTATTTCGGCTTAATTTCAAATACGCACATGTGAAAATTACAAAACCTTTGCGGGTAGTAGTATAAGCAAATAAAAGCATGATTTGTAGGTGATTTTTGGCATAAATACCACTTGTGATATTTAAAAATTGTTATATCACTCCTGGTATTTATGCCAAATATCACTACAAATCATGCTATTACCTATACTAACGTTTTGAGCGATATTTTTTTCTGTTTCACTCGATGTAGTGGTAGTTTCCACTAGTTGAATTTTGATAAATTTTGTGACACAGCTCCTTCAAGGTTTAAGGGAAAATGTAAAGGTTATACCTTGTTTGTGTAATCAGATTTCGTTCATATACATTTATTATTTTGTTAGATAAATTTTTATTCCATTAGGTATTGGTTTACATATAACATCGCAATTAATAGTCTTGCTCACTTATTGTTTGTAATGTAGACTTTAAAGTTGGAACCAAAGTAATATAGTAAGCTCCATAGCACATGTACCTATATGCGTACCACTTATTGTAACTAGAATTGCTTCAGAGAAAATATAATGTAAATAGACTGCAACGATTGAGCTTTGGGAATTAATGAAATTATTAACAACTGATGAAATATGGAATACACTAGAAGTCTTTTTTATTACAATTATGAGGAGAAATCACATTTTGATCGTTTAGATGCATGACCAGGGAGTTGACTTTGAAATCTGTAAAGAAATCAAATTATCTTGTAAATTAATGCTCGGGAAATACAGCTATAAATAAAGGAAAGACGAAAAAAATAAAATAAATGGAAATCAAATGTGATGTTTTCTTGTTCAAAATTTAATTCCAAAAAAATTTTCCCCGTTTGTTTGTTTGTTTGCTTTGTTTTGTTTTGTCTTTGTTTGTTTTGCTTTTCTCCACAATGTTTTTAGTCTCCTTTGCAAGGGCCGATTTCATTAAAAAATTAATGCCTATCTTGTCACTGCCACAAATTTCCTTTTAAAAGGATCATAAGTTTTCAAGTAACGTATACTATTCCGTGTTCAACAGTGTGGCGAGTCCTTTTCAAGACATCGTCGCCGACGCGAAAATGTTTGGAATAATAACATCTTTTGGGGGGCAATTTCTTGCCCTGTGATAATTGTTTTTCTTATTACCTTCATACTTCATTCAGTTTTTACCGTGCGGCTCCAAAGTCTTGTCAAGAACAATTCGTTTTAATGTGGAATCTTTTTCTCCAAGATAAATGGTATGCCTTTTCACGTTTTTTTCTTCCCAGTTATTTCGTTTCCTAAGTACAAAAATGTGAAAAAGAATGTGAATGGTGCAAAAGACGATTATCATTATTGAGCAAGGCTATATTAACATAGGTTGTGACGATGATGACGATGATGGTGGTTGTGGTGAGAGTTTTTTTTTACGATTTTGTCTTCGAAGGAAAACAGAACAAAAAATCCAACACAGGATATTTTTTACATGGTCAATGCTCGATACATTCTTCGAATTCTTTTGTTGGTGGTTTTCTTCGCGTTTTATCAAGTGACTAGCTCTAATTTGAGATGAACAGAATGTATGATGGAATACATGTTAATGATGATCAGCCATCATCTTCTTGTCTAAACTACGTTTCCCACGTTGCAAACCTTTGATTAACAAATAACGTCTGTTTTTGTTTCGGTAAAAATACAGTCCCTCGACTGGGTTACAAGCAGAGGAGTTAGGTTTCAAAACAACTTTCGGCATCGGCTAAGTATTTTAAGAAACGGCTAAGGTGCAAAAACGATTATGTAATTCCACATATTGTTTGTAAATGAGTGTGAATTAAAGAATAAGATGTTTTGCGATAAACTTCGTACACTCAAAGCAATCAAAGAATCGGATCGTCAGAAGCGGCAAAGTAAGGCAATTTTTGTTGAATATTTTTTTCGGTATTTACAGGACAGTTTCGTATGCTTCAGAGACTCTTTATAAACAAGACACTTGTCTATCGGTATTTATTGTTTTCGGAGAGGTCGCTGAAGATGGTGTCTCAAAACCCTGTAAAAAAAAAAAAAGAGTATCCCGATCATGTAATCGTCAAAATACTTATTTCTTTGACCTGACCCTGTCTGCTAACGAAATTCCACCGTTCTTTTTTATAACTTAAAAGGCCAACTAACGTGCTCGTAATAGTAGATTATTAGCCATCATCCACTATAGGGTCTTTTATTGGATATTAAACAATTACTGAATGAGGCTCAGTATGATGTGAAGAATTATACAGATCGAGGAAATGAATAACAAAGTGCTACATATATAAGTAGAGAAAGATTATTGTCACAAACATCATAATCACAATCATCATTATTATTATTATGACTGTCTAGGTTTCGTTGACAGTCATTAAGTTAATCACTGAATGATTTTATTGACAATTTACCCATCCGAAAAGATTAACTTAGTAGATAGTATAGATTTCAACTTTAATAACCAAGGGCTAAATTTTTCTTTGAAAAATCAATTAAAATGGACATTGCCCTAACGTCTCGATTTAGATTGAGATTAGATTTGAATAAGATACAAACTTCAAAGTTATTCCTACCAAACTTTGTAAAGCTGATACTCTTACACCAGGTTTAAGCTGATACATGAATACTTTACAATTAAACTGGAAAACGAATCATTTGACAAAGCCTAATAGAGGGTTTTCAAATGACGTCACTACCGCCGTGTTGGTGTCTCAAAACAATGAAACGGCGGCCATGTTGGTGTCCCAGACCGATCCTATGGGAGTTGAATTTTGAAGGGTTCTTTTTTTCTAACAAATTTGTACAGCTCATGCTGGCCGCGTGAGTGAAAAGCCTATATAGTACAGTAGCCACCGAGATACGAAAGTGTCTTTTTGCACGTTATTTGAGAATCAAAAGTCAGCTTTTTAAGAACTCCGTTCAGTCATCAACACTTATGTGTTCATCGATCACTGCCAATCGGCAGCCTGGGCAAACTGTGATTTTGGCTAAACCTGTTAAGTAGCTTGAAAATAGCTGACTGAAACCGCGCTTGATTCTACAGAAGGCAAAAACTTTGCTTTGATTCACACCTTTGTCTCCCAGAAAAATTGCACAATAAATCACTGCTACCATACCTATAGAAGCCCTTATACAAAACTGATGGTATCCTGTTTTACACAAAAAAATGTGATTTTCCGTTCGCTATTTCAGCCTTGAGCCACTGTTCTAAAGAGAGGGCAATGGTTCCAGAAACCCCCAAGGATTCTCCCTATAAAATATAATGGCCCATACGGGGAGGCTCCGTTCGAAAGGGGTACCTTTTTCAGGCTTCAGTTATATGAAATTGTAGGGATTTCATAAAATAAAGTATGTGAAAGGGTAGGGAAATCTGTCATTTCGGTGCGTAAAAGGACCAAAAAGGGCTAACAGACTCATGTTATGGATGTGAAAGAGACAAGAAAACTTTCTAGTTTAGTGATTTATTCATATCAAAAGACCGAACATTTAGAGCAGTTAAAAGGGGATGCAGTGTTCTAACTATGTATGGGAAAGGGATGCCATTTGTCAATAGAAGGTATACAAAAGGGGTACCTTCACTGTAAAAATGATATGTAAAAGGGTAAGGACTGGACCTCCGGGAGAAGCCTTCCCGTATAAGACTTTGTGGAGTACTCCACCCCCCTCCCCTCCCCACCCCCTAGGCAAAAGCGCAAAACCCTGCCACAGACCGCAAATGGTTAAATGGTCAGACCCAGAAGATCGGACCACATACCTTCCTTGGACGAGGTCAGCAACATACATATCAGTAGATCTTAAAAACTTTATAATTAATTTCCACCTATAAGATATGTACTAATTTTAGAACTGCCAGATTTATTCTTGCATGCACTGTGGCCTCAATAAGAGCAGGTAGAATTCAGCTGGGGTAGAGTTAGTCATTTAGCTGGTTGTGTCATTTTTTTAAGGAGTTCTGATCTTGATTTTTCTGTAGTCCATCATGTAAATTACGTTATCACTGCGGGAGGGGCCAGAGGCACTTGAGATAAGATTAGATACAAGGGCAGGGTGACCTATTTTTAACTAATCAGTTAATCGCGAGGTCCAAATTTAGCGACAAAAGGGTTGTGTCCATTCAATTGTACATGTCAGTCTCTTTCATCTTGGGGTTAAATTTAGCTTGTTTGATTCCAGTGAGTAAGCGTTTTTAGATTGTGGAAGGAATGTTTAGCAAAGGTAGATCAATTGCAAAATATTCCACCAATCCAAGTCGCGTGTCGATGTAATCTTTCTCAAAGAGAAGGCGAACTCGAGATCAATTTCTACTGGTCGCTATATAGGTGACGAGGATCGAAGCTAGAAGTAAACTATCAGATTCGATACAAATAGAGCCGAGAGAGAATCTGCTGTTTACCTAAAAAAGTTAACAGCAAAATTAGTTCTAAGAAATTTTCTACTGATTTTTTTTACTTTCCTATTCTCCCCTCTGTGTGCTAATAGATAACTAACAGGTAAGCCAGTCAGAATAGGGGATTCACAATAGAACCCATTGTTGTAGAAGATAGTTCTGGATATTATTACGTAATACTTTTACACCAGGCTTTCAGGCTCTCAGATAGCAGAGATGAAGCGTTATAGTGAATGGCACTCGAAAATATGAGAGCATGATTTGGGAAAATGGTATCATAGCTCGCGGACCCAACTCGGAGCTTGGAACAGGCTAAATTCCACCTTGCAGACTGCTTCAAAGTGATTAGCAGCACCGAACAATTTCGTTCATAAAGTAAAAAACTGCCACGTACATGTGTCTTTCGTTTGAGAAAGTTTAAGTCACGTTTGGGACATTTTTTACGTTAACTTGACGTATTACATCTACTGTACACAAAAATTTGCAGTTTAATTTCACGCAATTCTTATCCATTATAGTTTCAGCTGAGCTTGAATCCGACGTTTACCATTTTTAGTAAACTTGAATCTGTTAGGGAAAATCTGGTAGGCAATGGATGTGGTCATATGGACGAAGTGTTTTTTTGTTTGTTTGTTTGTTTCTTACTGTTGAGGTTCTGTAGTAATATTTATTGGAGCTAGAGGTGTTGTTTAGTTTACCTTTCATTAACTGATTAAGAGTAGTTGAAACCTTTAAGACTTCCAAAGGCTTTGTGCTGATAACTCCGAATATCCTCTGCGGGAAGAGAGGAGGGAGGGAGAGACAACCAGGAAGGGAGAACCCTTCGGACGACACTGAGAATATTGATACTTTTTGGGAGGTTAAATTTGTCATTTTAGTCTCTTTTGTTACTTTACGACCCAAGTATTCTCAGTGAGCGAGAGCTGCAGCCGTAGCTTAGAAAGCCGGAAGACTTAAATGGATAACAGACCGCAAAAAATTTTCTAACGGCCTTCAAGTCGAAATCCCCGTTTTGTTACGATGCATCATCAGATAGGGATAGACAGGAAAATGGACTGTTCAAACCGGGGAAGTTGTTTTTAGCTTATGAAGAAGGATTTTATTTCAAAGAACTAGAATTTCAAAATGAACAGTTTCTTGTGGTGTCACTTTAGTCAGGTTTGTAGGGGATTTTAGAGAGAGTCATTACTTGTAAGATTCTTTTCACACTGTGGGACATTTTGCTGATCTCATGATCCCCTATATAAACCGCATTATTTACTATTTCATTTCATTTTTCAAATGAATCACAAGAATTCAGTTCTGATACACCAAATTACTCAGGAATTG